CAATTCTTATCTATGAAATGCGCAGTGAGACAAACATATCCATCACTAGTCAAAGAAGTCCATGCATCAGAAGTAAAGCTAATTCTACCTAGGATAGTCTCTAACATCAATTTAATTCGAAGCTTTTCCCTCTTGTAAAACTTTAAAGCGTCAGCCTTTGCAGTATTTCTAGAGACCAATTGAATTTGAGGGTGCAAGTACTGAAATATAGACCTTATTCCCGCATATTCAAGAAAACTAAAAGGTAGATCATGCATGATTATAGCTGCTACAACCAACTCACGAAATTTTTCGGGATCATACTTACCTCCACCAAGTGTCACTGCACCAGCTTCTTGGGCAATGAGCATCTGCCCTATATCATGGTAGGAGGTTTTCAGACAATTCACAAGATGGCGTTTCAGATTACCAGTTCCGTACTTACTGTCTGCGAGGTACACAGAACTACAATGTTTGCACTTGGCCTTCAATTTCTTGTCCGGACCCAAAGGAAGATGAACAAAGTGACTCCAAACTTTTGAGGTCAGCTTCCTTTTTCTTTTTTGGAGATCAGCACCTTGAGTTTCGGTATGAAAACTCAACCCATCAATCTCTTCAACATTAACATCCACACTTTGAGACTCAATGGACTCAAGATCAATTTCCATTGTGTTAAATTAAGCACCTCTGAAAATCCTGAAAATAGAACTGGTCATCATTAGTTTTCTAATATTCACCTCATAACGTATGGTCAAAAATGATAGAACTCAATCACTAGCCTATGGAGAATTAAACAAAGAAACTTTCAATATAAAAGACAATCAACATTACCAATATAACCAATATAATCTGCACAAACCATACAACATTACCAATATAAGCAAAAACCACAAACAATACCAATAAGAAAAAACTCGAGGCTGTGACCCCTGTTGGTGGAGGTTTAACTACAAGCTGTATTCTGTATTACTAATTCTTAAACGTAAGAAAAGGATTTAAAGAATCCTTCTTCATAAACCAGATCAATACAAACGGGAGGGGGAAAGGCTAGACTGTCCTATGTAGACAAATTGTGTCTATTCACTTCCACTGCATTGGAAGCAATTGTAATTAAAAAAAAAAATCCTTTCTTTAACGACAATAATTAGATGGTCCTATGTAGACAAAATGTAAATGCAACTAATATTTGAATGAAATACAAGCCACGATTGCAGAGCCATAAATTTGTGGTCTTAGTAATTGAACATGACGTGTTATCAATTTAGAGAGTTATATGTTTAAATCACAACTCAAGTCTCTAGTGTATGAGAGAATTAAACACTAACAAAAAAGTTAAATTTGAATTGCGAACCGATTGAAACAGGAAATGAAGGCAAACATGAAACATAGAAGTCATTAACTACAATGAATGATCAAGTCTAACAGCATAAACTGCACACAAATTTACGGAGAAAAAGAAGATTCACAACTTAATACAAAGCAAAACAATACTTCACAATTAAAAAGAAAAAAAATACTGGAAACCCATACAAACCACCTTTAAAAACACATGAATTAGTCAGTTGAAATCAAGTAAACTGAAAAAAACCACCTTTCTTTCCACACGAATTAGTCAGTTAGAAGATTGAAAAAATAAGTAAACTGAAATCAAAATATGTACAAAGCAAGAACCAACTACTTTGAATCCGAAGAAGAACAACCAAGAACAAGCAAAAACTGAAATGGAGGCGAAATACCTGTTTCGGTTTCCGAAGAAGAACAAGCAAAACCAATTGCTCTGAATCCGAAGAAGAACAACCAAGAACAAGCAAAAACTGAAATCCAAGACTGAGATCCAGCGGAGAAACACCGGTTGCGAGTGGAGAGGAAAGAAGAAGAAGAGAAAGAAGAAGAAATGAGATCGGCGGCCGCAGATGAGAGAGGAGACCGAGAGAGTGGAGAGAGAGATAGGCGGCCGCAGATGGGAGTAGGTGTGGGAATGAATGGGATGGACGAGGGAGATTAGAGAAAGAGAATAGTGAATAGTTAAACTTTTGTTTTAACCTAGGTAATAAGCAGGTAATAAACGGATAATAAACGGGTTGTATAATCGTGTTACCTATATATGACACGTTTAATAAACGGGTTATGGCGGGTCAATTGCGGGTTGGCGGGTCAACCTGAAAATGACACGTTATTTAATCGTGTTTCACGGGTTCGACCTGATTCTGACCCGGACCTATTTATGATAAACCCAAACCCGCTAATTTCGTGCAGGTTTCGAGTCGTGTCGTCGTGTCGCTACCCGGATTACCACCCCTACTTGAAACATATGAAAGAAAATAATGATTATTTTGCAAAATTTAAGGGGTATTACAATTTTGTGACTTTTTCTGATAGGTCGGTCTATCGCTAGGGTTAGTTTTGACTATTGAATTTATTTAAAATCACATTAAATTAAAAAAATATATATAATAGACAGTTTTTTATATAAATCTTACAATTAAAAAATAAAAAATGATCGGTAGTTCATTTTTTACAACACTATAGAAAAACTCCTTACTTTTTTTCCCTTTTAAATGTAATGTTGTTTGTTAACGAGATAAAATGTTATTTGTCATTTAAAAAAAATGAAAAAAAATATTTCTGATTAAAAACAGTTTCTTTCTCACTCAAGCATTTTTTTTTGTTTTGTTTTTTATTTTTGTTTTCTAAAGCCTGAAAAAACTTATGAGTAAACTAAATTTTCAAATATTGAATCGAAATTGTGAAATTCAACAATAAAAAAGGGGTACTCTTAACTATTTTTTTTTTTTTTTGGTTGTAGACAATGCTACTATTTATCCTCAATGAAAATTGTGTATTTATGATGAAGAGGGTTATAGAAATTATATTTTTACTGTTACATTAATTTTTTAACGGTCTTAATTACACCAGAGCAATTTTGTATTGGACGTATAGATTTATTATTTATAAAAAAAGATTAAAAATGACAGTTTCCACACGTGAAGTAGAATAACCTACCCTCTAAGTCCCACCAAAATATTTGTTTCGGTGTGTGTTTTTTTTTTTTTTTTTTTTTTTTTTTGAAAAAACTGAAAAAAAATATCTACCGTAAATATCAAAAGCAGGACACTACCCCAAAAGAAGGGTTGCCGTTTTTTTTTTTTCCCCTCAAAAAAAAAAAAAAAAGAAAAAAAGTCGGTTAGGGTTTGGTTTCAAAACCCTTTAATTCGAACATCGCAGGACGCTGGTAAAACCACTCTTATCAGAGTTCATCTCTCACTTTTCTTCTCTCTCTCTGTTTTTTTTTTTTTTTGGGTTGTTGGTGACTTTCCGTTTGGCTGAGTTTCTTTTTCTCTGGTATTCAGAGCAGAGAGAGAGAGAGAGAGAGTAGTGAGAGAGCGAGTGATGGCTGGGAAGGAAGACTACCGAATTTTCGTTGGAGGTTTGTCTTGGAACGTCACTGAGCGTCAGCTTGAAAATGCTTTCGCTCGTTTCGGCAAAGTCCTTGAAGCTCAGGTACTCTTTTTTTTTTGTAATTTTTTTTTATTTGACTAATTATTTTGTTTATGTGCATTTTCTCATCTGTTTGGTTCCCGAGAATTTGAAGCAAATTTCCAAATTAGTTTCAGATGTTTCCCTTTGTTATATAAAGAAAACAACTGAAATTCATTTTACCTCATGGAAATTCCAGTAATTGCCGTAGCGAGCATGCTGTTTTAGTCGATTTTCGTATAACTTTGAATAGTTTTTGCATAATTTTGGATTAGTCTTCTTCCCCTTTTTTTTTTTTTTTTTTTTTTTTTTTTTTTTTTTTTTTTTTTGTGGGGATTAGAATCTTGCGATCCCACTTTCATGTCATTTTTTATTTTCTTTCTCGTGGTGTTGCAAAGTGTCTGGCTAGTTAACTTTTTGGGATTGCAGATTGTTTTACTTTCATTCTTTTATACTTGTTTATTTATTTTAAACTCCCATTCGGTCTTGAAAGGAGCATCTGTTGTAAAAACAAGGGAATTAGGGTTTCCACATTGAAGTTCAAGTGATTATTTTTCATTGATCTAGGGTCTATTTTTGGGGTCAAGTTTTAGATTCTCGAGTTTTCTACTACTGATATTAATATTTCTTATTTGTTTTCTTGACTCCCGGATTGCCGGTTATGATCTTCCGAGGTGCTGTAGATTGGTTTTTTAAGTTATGTTTTTATGGGATGACTGCAGCAAGTTGCTGAAACACACATGTGATTTTGTGGTTAGATTATAGCAGATGATTATCTTGAGTCGTCCCAGACAAGAATTATTCAGATAAGAGGATCTTATCTCGCAGGGGGAATGAGATTCAGGGAAGGCAGTAAAAGTTAGTACCTGATTATGTCTCATCTTAGTTTGCAGAATAAGAGCTTCAAGTCATGAAATGAGCTGTGGTTGAGATTAACAAGAGAAATCCAATCATAATTTTTACGTGGAGCTTAGTCTTTAGGAATGGGCTGGAATCAGCAAGTCAAATGATGGGGGTGATTTAATTGATTTATGCTGAGTGATAGTTTAGTAATGCTACTTGTTTTCTGGAAAGATTATCTGCATTTTCCCGACTAAAAGAAAACACTCATATGGTCAGTTGTGGGACTAAAACTTAATTGTTAAGGTTTTGTGTGGGCTTTGGGTGGAAGATTCTTTAGCTGGAGGGTGCCTGCTCTTGACTGATAGATTGCATGCCCTTGTGTTATTTGTCTGGAACATCCAGGATCTGGTCTACTTCCTTAACATCATTTGTTACTCTGTAACGTATTAGGATTTCTTAAAGCCCTCCCGCATTCTGAAGCTGTGTTGGTGTAACTTGTATCTTAAGAGATGTAAACTGCCTGATGTTTGACCATTTAGTCCCAGGGGTGTGGAAGACATATCAAGCTTAATTTTTTGAACTTCTGATTTAATGCGCAAATTTTTTGAATCAGGTTGGATATGTGTTGCATGGCACCAAGCTTGAGTGAGGTTACATGTATATTCAGAGGGGTTTGGAACCAAGATAGATATGTTTTGAATGGTTCAGGTAGCCTGAGGTGGTGACTCTTGTCTGCCACTAAATAGCAACGAGCTCCTTTTATATGCTAACATGGAGGCCGGAGTTGTCTGAGTTTCTTTCTTTTTTCCCCTTCTTGTTAGTAAAAAATTCATCTTTCAAGTGCTTTGGCTTATTTATTGATTCGTCGTAACACGGTTAATATTGCTGTTTAAATGGGTTAATTTGTTCAGGATCATTGTCATTGTTGGTCTTGAAGTGTTGGTCGGATTATTTGAGGGGTTGCTTGTATATATCTCTACTTCTGAGAAGGCTAGAGGTTTTTTACATCCTGTAACGGGGCCTAGGGACATCACCTTTTACATCTTATATTACATCAGTTTGGTGTGTATGTGAGTGGACAACGTAAAACTACTTCAGGTCATTTGACTCTCCTCACGATCCAGACTTGTGTTCTTTTGAGAATACTATTGCATATGGCAGTGTTCAGCTTTAGCTTCAACAATGAAAACTGTATAGTTATGCTTTCTTACGTACATGTGGTTGTATTGTTGACTTGATATTCAACACCAACAAATTTTGGTGAGTGTCGTTATTGAGAAACCATTTTCCAACCCAAGTGATTCTGTAGTAGTTCACTTTATTTTTTGGAGGGACAACTCGCATAGCCGGGAAGGTGGAGCACAGGCAGCTTAGAACAGGGTGGAGTACAGGCAACAGTATTGAGGTTTGGCTGCCAGATTGTCTGGAGAAGATCACTGTTCACTTGCTTCCTAGATCCTCTTTGCTTTGTTTTTATCTTACAGCTTTCACTCATCACATGAACCTGGAGGGTGAACTGGAATTCTTGCTCCTGATGCATTGGTTTGATCTTTTGGTTTAAGGGCCGAAAGCTTGAGTCTGCGTTTTCTTAGTTGCGCAAACCAGTCTGTCCATGCCTTTTTGTCCTAATTTCTGATGATGTTAGCGAAGGGCGGAAGTAAACTTTCTGGTGTTATGCTGATTGCTGACTAACAGATCTTCACTGTAGTAGATTTTGTGATAGAGTATGTTTTCACGAGTTAGAGTTTTATCGAGGCAGATTACTTGGAAGTTCTCATAATTTTCATCCTTTTTGTTATTAGCATGTCATAATTCAGATTCTTGGACAAAGCAGTCGTCTCTTGGCCGTATTTGATCAACTCTTTTCCGTCACTTTGCTTGTTTTGTAAATGTTCATGAAGGCAACAGAATCAGTGAAAATTTTGAGCTATAATCTCGGAAGTGGAGAAGTTGAAAGTTGCCTCTTTGTCAGCATGTATCCTAAATATATCAGTAACTGCTAGGACGTCTTTATCCGCCCTATTTTTAACATTTTCTCTTTGGGGAGTTTGATGTTTCGATTGCAAGAGGGGCCCTTGATTGATATGTATCTTATGTTCTTTTCTGTGACTAGTAATTAAACCTATAGAAGGCTATCATCTATTGCTGTTACGAAAATGGTCTTATGTTAGAAGCCTTACTTATCAGTTTATGCTGGATTGGAGATCCTGAACTTCGTGGATTCTTTTGACAATCCATGTCGCAGTCGTGAGTTTGAAAGTTGTATGAGGTTTGAAGCCATGGTTTTTGGTCCGTGCTCCTCTGGTATCTTGGATTCTGTTGAGAATTAAAGTTGGAGGTCATGTATAGTAGTCTTCTGTTTCTTTCAATTATGAAAGACATAACACTGATCCTTGTAACAAAAAAAAAAAAGAAAAAAAGTAAGTGATCATGTATTAAATTTTGATTCACCTGTAAAGTGTTGTATGTAGACATCAACAGTTGACTCAAGTTTTCAATACTATTTTCCTGTCAGTAACATTGATGAATTCCTCTTAAATGAATTTTCAACACAACTCATATTCCTCCTTATTTCATGGTTTTGCCATTGAACTTTGTTTCATATCAGCATTTTGTAGTGAAGTTACGTGACATTGTATTACTTCTTTCTTTTCCCCTTTGGAATTTTGAGTAAGCTATTATACTGTATCATGTCCTCAACATGGTTGTGAATGCAGAACATGTGTTATGCACGAGAAATAAGGGTGTTCTTTATTCTTGCTCGTTTAGTACTATTAGAACTAACCTAGGTTGTTCTTCAGATTGTTCCATGCAACGATATTTAGTTGTGCTTGTGCTTGATATTATGCATGGAGACATCCTTCCAAATATACTGCTGATGCCATGTTGGAAACTCATGGGCGTTGATTTGAGTTCTGCTTGTTTCTTTGTTGGTTTGGGGAGCAGGAAGATTTTCATGTAGAACCTTTCTTTTTGATCCTTTACCTCTGTAATTGTCAATGCAAAGGAAATCTAGTTAGTTACTTAGTAGTTTCTTTATTGTCTCTTTTTCTGGCCCTTAAATCTCTTATAAATTTTCATTTCTTTGTGCTTATTTTGTTTACTGATCACTTGTATTCGCCATTTAAGATTTTTATTTTTGTGCAAGTTTTCCTTGAGAGTGAGTTGTTCTCTGAAATTTTATGTCGTAGGAATTAGTTGTTGTTTTGTATGAGGTTCTGTTTTCTTTGATATTCACGATGAGAACTTAACTATATTCCATGTTTTTGTGATTGTATTGTTCATGATAAAACTTTGCCTTGCTGGTCTGTTCAGATAGTGCTTGCTGAATAATTATGACATTTCTTGGTATTAGTTGTTTCTCTGTTATTGCTTGGCATGAGTCACGCTAGTGTGGTATTTGTGTAGATCATGATGGAAAGGGATACTGGCCGTCCCCGTGGATTTGGGTTTATTACATTTGGAGATCGTCGGGGAATGGAAGATGCAATTAGGGAGATGCATGGAAGGGAGTTTGGTGATCGGATTATCTCTGTGAACAAGGCCCAACCGAAAATGGGTGACGATGATGCAGACCATGGTTATAGGGGGAGCTACTCATCTGGTGGCAGGAAAGGCTATGGGGGAGGGGATAGATCTGTAGGGCAAGATGATTGCTTCAAGTGTGGGCGTCCAGGACATTGGGCACGAGATTGCCCATCGGCTGGTGGTGGTCGAGGTGGAGGGCGCTTTGGGGATCGCTTTGGAGGTGCTAGTGGGCGCGGGGATCGCTTTGGAGGAGATCGTGATCGATATTTGGATGACCGTTATGATGCAGGGCGCTATGGGGAGAGGGATCGTGTTGACAGCAGGGACAGCAAATATGGGAGCCGTGATCGCTATGGCAGTGACAGGTACAAGAGGGTTCTGAGAAAATATTGTCAAAGTAGTTGCTGTTTAGTTTGTTCCATTTCCAGGTGAATATATATATTGACCATGTATGCACTATCATCTCTCACTTGCACTTGCAATACTGCAGGTACCAACCAGGCGATCGGTTTGCAAATGATAGGTACAACAGTGCTGATCGGTACCCACTAAATGGTTATGGTAAAGATAGGGGCTTTGATAGAGACGGTGGCCCACGAGGTGGGGACAGGTATGGAAGTGGAGGGCCAGCTCGTAACGAGGGAAAAAGTTACCGGAGTAGGCCTGATCCTTATGACCGCCCTAACAGGGGAGGTCGACCATCTTCCTTTGACCGCTACTAGTGGCTTGTTAAATTCTTATTCAGAACTTTGTAACAACATACATCATTAAGGTAGGAATGTGGTTTTGATCGTTAGTAGGTCACTGAACGTACAATATAGTCGAGGATTGATGGATGCTTTTTCAACTGGTGTTTACTCTGTTTTAATCTCTTATAATGTTCAGTTTGTGGAGTCGATTGAATAGATGCTTCTGCTCCTTTTTTTACTTTGCTGTTTGACAAGCAAGTTTAGCTTCTTTAGATTTTATAAACGTTGCTTGCTTTTCAATTGATAATTCAAGTATGCTTTTACCATTACAAGCGTCTTTACCTATTGTTAACAGTTTTTAAGAATCAAATCAAATTCGACATGGTTTCAAATTTCAATTCAGATAAAAGTAAAATAATACCTATTAGATAAATATCAGCTTAAAATCTAGTTGATATTCACAGCTTAAATTAGGTATTATAGTTTATAACAGAGCCCGGTGAAAATGTGATGGTTAAAAATTGTGTTTTATATTTATTTATTTATTTTTTTTAACCTACGAATTTTCATTTTCTCAAGGAAAATTCGTACTCAAACCGAAAACACCAAGGCGTCATCCTCTCTGCAGCCGCCGTTATCTTCTCCCCGACCGTCATCGGCTCATCCCTCATCCCTCTCTTTATTGTTCTCACTCCCTCGCTTAGCAGCAAAGCCTCATGTATTTTGCCATGTTTCTGTGACACCAATATCTGCCCTGTGAGCAGATTCAATAGATCGGATTGTCCAAAAAATGGCAGTCTTGATCTAGTAGGCACAACTTTGCTTCGCCCAGTGCCCTCCGAACTTCCAACACCCATTACGCCAATGGCATTCCCCTCTTTTGAAACCAAATAATGTAGTCAACGATTCTTCTTTTCAACAATTGGATATTCAGTGCTCTTAAAACCCCACTACAAATGCAATCTTATGTCCACAATGAACAGGTATGATCTCGTGGTTTCATAATCTTCGACTATGTTTAATTAATGTTATGTCTTTATAGTACTCTGTCTAACAAATGTTTCCTCCAAAGTATGAAATGTTTTTCCCAACTGAGTTGCTGAGGGAGTGTTGTTTGTTTGGTTATAGAGTTTTAATTTTGCAAGTGATCTTTAAGATAATATTTGGCTAGATATAATTTAGGCCGCATATTGTATTTCTCAAATTTTGACTTTTTTTTTTAAATAAATCTTTTACAAAAACATTTTGATTCTTTGTATTAGAAAAAAGGAACTTAGGATAAAATGTCGTATTTGGATGAAACAAAATTTTGAAATATTGACTAAATACAATACAGGTCATCACGATATTTAAGAGTATATAGTATAATTGCTCTCCAACCTTTTCGTGGTTTAGTATATTGCCCCAAAAACTTTTCATATGATGATTGAAAAGGAGAAAAAAAAAAAAAAAAGGGGGAATAAGACTAGAAGATGAGGAAGAAAATTTTGTCCAACTTCCATTGAACTGTGGTTTTTAGTGGTACAGTAAAAGAAAACCTCATTAATTTCATATAGTTTGTAATTTATAAAATCGATTGGACTTTTTGCAGAGATTAATGGTCAAACTTCACTATTTACTCGTCTTAAACCATTTCTTGAAGGGAAAAACTATATATTTTGCAAATAATTTGTACAATAATATATGTGAACATATGTAAACTCAAGCGTTTATATGAATGTATATATGTATGAAAGTGGTGACGTGGTGCCTTAGAGCCATCCTTCGAAACAAGAGGAATTAATGCAATTTGGTTGTACAAGTTATCACGCAAAGAAGGGGAATATATACTATTGAAGTTACATCTTTCGACCTAGCTATTTCAATGGTAGACAAATTCTTATTTCCAAAACTTGAGTAGTTTGACTTGCTATCACATTATCTGTCGTGTAAGTAAAGCTTATATGTTCATTAACAAATTGATTTCTACATTGATAATTTGACTAGTTTTTTCTAATTTTCAAATACTCCATTACATTGTTATAAAAAAGACGAATTTGATTAACTTTGAATAGGGAATATTTAATATGCTTTTGTTTTGGTTAGTATGTAGGAGTGACGCAACTATTCGATTTAAAAATTACAACTGATGAGAGAGACTCAGTTCTGAATCAGACTTAAGAATTCAACTTAAGTATTATACGTTCATGTCTTTATTTTAAAGAGTCATTTACGAATGTGTGGCCCCACCCAACAAACGGACTCTGACACTTCTTTAAGGTCCAAAACTAAGTTCAAGTATGTTTATACATCATACTATTTACTACTTTTTTTTTTTTTTTTTGGTTTCTCTTTCATTGTGTGAACGCATGGACTCAATTCCTGCCCTTGTGTGAGAATATTATTTTATGTATCTAGAAGGGCATGTTTTTCTTTTCTGTCCATATCTGAAAAGGATATACATATATAGAAAAGAAAAATAAGAAGTGGACAATAAGAGAAGAGATTCACTTGCTTTCTAGTCCAATATCCTTTTTAAATTTTCCTTCTTCCAATCGTTGTCTTCCTTTTCCAACCTTCTAAAAGCAAAGTATTGAAACGTAACAGTGCCTGATACTTCTGGACCTCTGGTAGTTGACTTTATTGATCTCATGAGAGCATCAAAATTGGAAAATTGTCCATGAAATTAAGAGTGCGTTTGGTAGATGGATTCAGCATCATGATTCTGGATCTTGATTCTGAATTAGTGTTTGGATCAAATGATTCTGAATCATGATTTAAAATTTAATGTGATGTTTTAAAATAGCTCAAATCATGACTCTAAAACACCCTTTCTTGATTCAAGGTGATTCAAACTCATAATTTTAAATCATAATTTAAACTTAAAATCTTGAATCATGATTCTGATTTTAAAATCATGATTAAAATCACTTTAATTTAAATCTTCGTACCAAGATCTACCTGTAGTTAGTTATCCTTTCAAAAAAATTTCCCCACAACAGCCCCCCAAAAAAAAAAAAAAAAAGAAAAAAAAAGGCCAAAAAAAAAAAGGGAAAGAAAAGAAAAAAGATAAAAGGAAAAAAAAAAAAAAACCCTTGTCCTTTTCTTTTCTTTTTTGCTTTTTACCTTTTATGTTTTCTATTGAATGGAGAAAAGGAAGCTGAGGTTGGAGGATCAAGTTGGGTGGGTTGTTAAGCAATCCGTTATATTTATATTATTTTTCCCCACTGATCATTTCAGCACAACTTCGACGAAAATCTTCAATTCCGTTTTCAAGATATTGGTAGAACGATATCACCTTTAAAATTTTTTAAGTCATTGGGCCTCGTTCACTTCGTAGATTTAAATTTTTAATTCGAGTTGAGATGTGATATTTTTTAAGAGTTTTTTACTGTAGCAGAAAAAGTTAGATGTGACATTTTTTTAGAGCTTTTAACTGTAAAAATTTAAAATTAAAAACTTAAATCGTTAAAATAAATGAGGCATAAATAATGAAACAGGAAGAAAAATGACATAAACCCTTACAATAAAAAAAGTTGTCAGCTGCCACGTGGTAAATCTCAATATATACAATATAATTTTCAAGTCTTATTCAATAGTTGAGATTTTAGCCGCACATCATCTATCTAAGAGGGGGAAAAAAAAAAGAAGGCACTGTAATATTTACCTCAAAATATATTATTATTATTATTATTATTATTATTATTATTATTAATGGAGACCAGAAACTCTATTAATCATTTGGTAAATCGTTGTGTGCAAAGCAACTAATAAAAGATGGAAAAAATTAGAACACAATAAAACATTTTCAGAAATATGAATAGTTAAAATGTCGACTATACTATACATGTCTGTAATAGCATGCACCGCGTCGATTGCATCCGATTCTGCTCAAAGTTTTTTGCCTTTATAAACACATTCCATTGTCAACTTAGAAGCCTATTGCCGTAGATAAGGTAGCCATTATCATATATATATATATATATATATATATATTGATATATATATAGATATTGATAGATATATATATATATATATATATATATGGAACTGGGTACCCAAAAAAACAAGTTGCCAATAAGGATTCCCCTCCAGCTAAGGATATTTCAAGGATCATCTGTCTGTAATAAAATTAGTAATTAAATATTTTAAATATATGTTTCAAATGAAAACAAAAATAAAAGAAAGAATATTCAACGAATTCAAATTTATAAGACAAATTGTGGCAGAGTGTGTATTTAAAGTGATAAAAATAGGCTTTTTTTTTTTTAGGGAAGCTATAGTCTTTAAATTGACTCCAATATACTGACAAAACTCCATGCGGTGGAATCTCAATTTCTTGGAGTCATTTGTTTGAATTTTCTATTCAATTGTATATCCCCACAAGCAGAGAAAAGGTTCCTATATAATCTTTGAAATCGATGATTTGATGACGATAATTTTCAGTTATTTGGCTCTAGTTCATTTAGTTATCATTTTCTTAGTTTCATGTGTTAATGCTTAATTATACACCTAAGGAAAGTGATGTTTTTAATGTCGTGTGGAAGATGTATATGAGTAGACCTATATTCTATACGCCAGTATACCTTATTAGTATAAATCTTAACTGAGCTGTACTTCTTTAATGAATTAATTTCTTAAATCTTGTTTGAGTAAATTAATTATGGAGGGAGGCAGATTAAGCAAGCTTTATTTACATTTTATTTGGTTAGTTAGAGGCCCATCGGAAGATTCTGGGCTTGTTCTTTTGGGTGAAAAACTTAAAAAAATGTAACTCGAGTTACAACTTTACTCGAGTTCAAACTCGAGTTTATGACTAAAACTCGAGTTCAAGTTTTCCCTTTAACTTGAGTTCAGAAACTCGAACTCAAATTAATGAACAATATTTTTTATATTCTTAAAAATGCTATAACTTTTTCGTTTTAATTCTGATTGATAAGATTTTTTTTCTATGCGTTGACAACGAAAAGACGAATAAAACCCGACCCATATACCCTATTAAAATTTTTCATCAGCATTGAGTTTTTATTTAAATACTATCTAAATACAAATTCAAGTTTTGACTCACTCAAACACAAACTCAAAAAGATTCTTATCTCAAACCATAACTCAAATGTACATAACCAAACACAAACTCAAGTTACAAGTTCAACTCAAGTTATAACTCAAATTCAACTCAAGAATTATACTCAAGTTAAACTCTAAAAGAACAAGCCCTCTATTTCTCGGCTTATAAACAATTAATTCACGATAAAATATTTCAGTATCTATATAAAATTCAACTGATTACAATAATGAGCAAAAAAAAAAAAAAATGGATATTTCAATTATGA